TCCTGGTTTCGTGCTATAGGATATGCTTTGGACAGCTAAATACAAGGTTGGCAATTCAAACCAACCAGCTGGTCCTTGAAAACCCTATATAGGGTTGCTGTGAATCAGGATTGACTTAAAGGCATTTAACATCAAGGGCACCCATGTCAACAAGCTTATTGTTTCAGGAATTATGAATGAAAAGTTCATTGTTAAAATGAGCATCTCAAGATCTTGGAGTACAGTGCTGTCTGAGATAGAGTAATAGCCATATGCCTACAAGGTAGATCAGTTGCTTGATTGTTACTCACATTTATGCACCAATCTCTCAAGCCAAAGATCCAAACCCGTTAGTGGACTACAAACATATTACATTTGCATTGTCCTATCTAGTCCTGGTGTGGCGCTGTGGGTTAATGAACTAGACTGCAAGGTCGGTTTGAACTGCAAGGTTGGTGGTTCAAGCTCACCAACTGCTCCTCAGAAACCCTATACAGGGTTGCTATGAGTCAGAATCAACTCAACAGCACTTAACAACAACAACAATCTAATCATTTGGTGGGAGTCACAAAGACGATGGCTAGAAAAGACCTATTAAGTAATTCATGACAGTGAAGTGCCTAGACCCAATGAGCTAGCTTCACCACTAAGAACAAGATTTGCTGAACACTTGGTCATTTTCTTTAATTGATGAAGAATGATGTTATAATTAAAAACTGTATCCAAATGCTGCAATAGCACGTAGAGAACTACTTTTCTGATTTGAGTGCAGCAGGAGTTGAATCCATTCGCCACTCTTTCCTAACTAGAAAGTCAAACTCAGTTTTTCATAATTTGAGTATGATATATAAACTTAGTGTATGAAACAATACTGAAAATACACGTTGGTAAATTCTGAATGATTTTTGATCCATCTTTACTTAGTGATCCAGTGTTAGATAGACTTGTTCAGTGTCATCAAATTGCTTCAGACTCATAGTGGGTCATGTCTGTGTCACAGAGTAAAATAAATAGCCTTCTAGGGTTTTATTGGCTATAAAGTTTATGGAAGAAAATTTCCAGGTCTTTCTTCTACAGAGTCACTGAGTGAGTTTGAACTACCAAACTTTTGGTTAACAACTGAGCACTGAACCATTGTGTTACAAGGGCACCTTGACTGGATACTTATTGCAATGTTTTTCCATTTTTGTCCAGATTTCATTAATCTAGTTCAAGAAAAGAAATCAACTTGATGTGGAATCCTAGTGCCATCTATGCTGTTGTTAAGTGCCATCAAATTGATTGCATCTCATAGCAACCCTGTGTAAGGTTGACTGCCATCGTTGTGGTTAGCAGTCCAGTGTTTATCCTACAGCCCCACACCAGGACTCTAATGTCACCTACAAGTTTGGGTTATTATGTTGTTTGATTGCAGTAATATTCTTTGTATCAAATATGAAACGGTTCTACACCTATGGAAGCAGTAGCTCAAAAGAGGGAACAAATCTTCACAGCAAGGATCATTCCCACCCCCTCCACACATGGAGAGGACAGGGATAGGCAACGTGGACACTGGCTACCCAAAATGGGGGGCTACAGAGGCAAGAAGTGACTGGCATACAAGCTTTCAAGAAGGAACCTAGATCCAGAGGGCATGGAGCAAAGTAGAATCTCCACTGAGTAGTATCCAATCTGTCGAGGTGGGGCTGATGAAAGGAGATGCAGATAGGTCTCTTGCAATACAGTAGTGAATAATTGTTATCAGGACTGATTGTAAGGGCTGGAAATGTAAAAGTAGACATTTTGTGGCACAGGGAGGGGAGTAATTAACTTTGCAGTCTAGGAGCAGAGGTCCCTGGGACCATCAAGGAAGAAGAGTGGAGAATGGAACCCTACCCACAGAAGCAGTGATCCCAGAGATGGAGACAGAGACGATGACATGGAGAGATGGAGCCGCTAGGGACTTTAGACCCAGAGAGGTCGAGGGGCTTTGTGCTGATGACCGGTGGGGGCGCAGGCTTGATGGATGATGCATGAAGGGGATTGTAACCATGGCAAGGAAGCAATATATGATGGGATCAATGTGAAGCTAATGTCCTCCCATGTAAACTATCACAATTCACAATAAAGCATTAAAAATACATATATATATGAAACCATTATTCTCAGAAGTTCATTTTATTATCTGAAATAATTAAAATTGTGATGAATTTTTTCAAATATTTACTTCAAATTAGTAGATCCCATGTTCAACTGAACTTTCCTTAAAATGGTCAACAAATACCAAAAGTTGTAGAAACTTTTTTTTAAGCAGTTAGAGTACTTTCTACATTTATCATTTACTTACCTTGGCTAAAAAACTTAAATTTTCTGATCCTCAAATTTCTCATTTGTGGAACTGAGATAGTGGTAACTAATGGTGATTCAGTGGTTAATGACCTTACCTCATTTAATTGTGCAATAGTCTGGTGAGGTAGATATATCATGTATAGTTTCTTTTCACATTCATGGTAAAGATAAATCTCTGATTGAGCTAACAGTTGTTTGAAATGGAACTGAAGTCCTCTCTAGCTGTTGTGCTTGTTAGTGTTTCGTGTCAAGCATGTTATAAGATTTTATTGTTGTTCATATTTCCATTGGGCTGTTTGTCTTTTTTATTGTTAAGTTGTAGTTCTTTTTAAAAGTCTCATCAAGTAAATGGTTCCCTAAAAATTTCCCCTAATCTGTAGGTTGTCCATTCACTTTATTTTTGAAGTCCTATTGATTTATTATATCCTTTTTTGTTCCTGCTTTTATTGTCCTAGATAAGAATCCATTGTTAAAAACTAAGTCCCCAGACAATACCCGTGTGGTTTTTTTAAGAGCTTTGTTGTATATATATAGTCAGCTATGGATCTTTTAATTCTTTTGCATGTGGAAATCCAGTTTTCCAAGAGCTTTTGTTGAAGGTTTTTTTAACCCTTAAATTAACATGTATTCATAATGAAAACATATTCTTATTTTTTTTCAATCTGTGACAAGTTGGTGTATTGTACCTACCATTTATTCCAGACTTTTATTTAAAGTTTTTATTGATTTTAGCCTTTTATGGAATAGTGTAAAAATATTAAGATGTAAGCAGTAGCAAGAAAGTTGCTGCTGCTGCAGACAAGTCGATTCTGACTCATGGTGACCCAGTGTAGGGTTTCCTAGGCTGTCATCTTTTTTTCTTTTTTTTTTTCAAACCTCCCCCCCCCAACACACACACACACACACATACACACTGAAACTTAAACTCCCTCTTGAAAAATTGTAAGGCAGCCACTTTATACCTTTTCAGCCCCCCAACCCCCATTTTAGGTAGTCAATGTCTCAGTTCCCATACTTATCAACTAACTCTGTGTACAGAGGGGATAGGTTTGACCTTAGATGTGAAGACTCCTTCCCTCTTGGTTGGTATTTTGAGCTACTATATCCATAAGTATAAGGAGCTCTGGTAGCGTAGTGGTTACGAATCGGGCTGCGAACCTTAAGGACAGCAGTTCGAAACTACCAGCCGTTCCGTGGGAAAAAGATGAGGCTTTCTGCTCCTGTAAAGATTTACAGCCTTGGAAACCCTGTACAGGGTCACTATGGGTCAGAACCAACTCGAAGGCACTTAACAACAACAACATATCCATAAGTATAGGTCAAGTTCATCAAATTGTAGCAATTTATACTTGCTTCCTTTATTAAATTTCATTATCTTCCTCTCGTCAGTTTCTGATTATGAAACCCTAAAAGGTTAGGTCAAATGGGTATTATCTGCAAGTTTGGGCATTCTTATGCATCTCCCCTCACTTCATATCAGCTGGATGTTTACTCTCAGCTCTAGCCCTCCATGGCTAGGTCCTTGTCCATGGGTTGAAGAGTCCTCTAGTCCCACTACACTTCAGACCAACCAGCCCTTCCTCTTTTCTGTCTCATCTCAACGTCAACGGGAGTCTATGGAATGCGGTCAAACTCAGCCCATATCTCCCTTTGATGCTTTCTGTATCATTCAATATTTTGCCCCATAGCATCTTGAAGGATGGTCATGTGCCATAGACTCAGTTTCCTTCAGTGTCTTTCTGAATAGTAAGCCTGGAGGTTTTTTGTTTTTCTTTTGTTTTTTATAATTTTGGATTTTGTTTAAATTTTCTTCCACTCTATCTAGGACCTAATGTGGTCCTTTCAGAGTAGTTGGTAGTGGTAGTCAGGTACCATTTAGTTCCTCTGGTCTTAGATTCTTGGAGACTGACGTTTCATCATCTGTTCCATTTGTCCATTGGACTAATTTATTCCAAGCATCTTCAGTTCTCATCACTCTTCTTTCTTTCGCAAATGAAGAGACCAATATTTGCACCTTAGTTGCCGTCGATGAACTTATAAGATTCCAGACACTATACTAAAGTAGGTTGTAGAATATAGTCTCTGGACTATGCCATTAGATTGTGATTCTTTATGGGAGCAGAAAGCCTTATCTTTCTCCCATGCAGTGACTGGTGGATTTGAATTGCTGACCTTTCAATTAGCATAGCAGCCCAACATGTAACCCACTATGCTACAGGACTATTCAAGCAGTGGCAAGAAAATAACATTAACAGGACAGTTAATTTTGTGAACTTCTAATTGTGGCTCAGGGATGTGTTCTTCAGGGGCCACTTTTGTTTTCTAGGAACCTTTGGAAAGTCCACCACAACAGTGACAAGTGTTCTCTGGCATGTTTGATTTTGTAGCCTGGCTTGTCCAGTGTAGGTATTGTTGAATTGACAGTGGGTCGTTTCATTTTTATGGTATCAAATAAGTGCAAGTCAAATGGGATCGCTGTGAGGGATGTTTAAGGTAATTCCAAAGAAGTGACTACTCATTCTGAATTGCTGAACCATATGACAGCATTTCCTTTTAAAAGTAGAACTGTAAACTACATTAATGAACACTTCTGTGAGAGTTTTTGTTTGGTTGATTTTTGTATATGTATATCTTGAATTTAATTTGCCTTGTCATATTTTTCAAAATACATTGTTCTTCCCATTCTTTGACAGACCCCTTATCCCTCTGGACAGAATGCAGGTCCAACCACGCTGGTGTATCCCCAAGCCCCTCAGACAATGAATTCACAACCTCAAACCCGTTCTCCGGTAAGTAAACAAAAGCTTGTTCCAGATAATACTATCTACCTTAGTTTATGTGTATAATAGCTTGAGTTCTTTTGACTAATATTTTTATTGGATTTTGGAAATTTTTCCAAAGATATATTATAACTACTATTGATTTCGTTGCATTATCAGACATTTCCATGTAGGAATAATATAAATTTATTTTTAAAAAGAGAAAATTGAGCTTTTTAACTTTTTAAAAACTTTTCTGTGGCATGTTTTTTGTTTTTTTTTAAAGCCTGTTTGCATTCAGGTTTGCATCATTTCAGCTCTGAATTTGTTCGTTGTAGTATTCAGAATTCCAGAGAAGAGTGTAAAGCACAATGATTTTGAAAGTAAATTGAATTTGCTTAGCTAGATTTTGAGTTTCTGTTGGATTAGGAAATACGATGACTGAATCAGTGTTAGTGGATCAGGTCTACCATTTGGCAATGTAAAGGTGTACGGGATATGCACTGTTAGGCACTGTGGGTGTGTGAATCTCTTCTAATGAATTGTCTGTCCTAAATTTCTTCTAATAAATTGTCCTAAATTCTTCTAAATGAATTGTCCTACAAATGTCAGTGCTATCATCTCTTTGCTCATCATTTACATGGATTGCAAAGACTGAGACTATACTCAAGGATCATCTTTTGTTTCAGAAATTGCTTCAGCTGTGCATTCCTTAGAAAGTCATCTCCTGTCCTGCATGATAAGCTTTGACTTAGAAGGTGCTTCTGTAACATCTGACACTGTATCTCTTTGTACCACAGCTCTGTGTTTTCCTCAGAATACAGGGACTTTCTTTTTGTTCCCACCCCTGCTTTTTTGCTTATAGTACAGGAATATTTCATTGCATTAGCTCTTATTCTTTTGATTTTTATGCATGAATTTAGAATTGTTGAAATAGACCAAAAAAATTGCTCAAAGAACTAGGTTAGCATAGATTGCACCAAAGCACAGTCTTTCTTACCTTCTTCTGTCTTCCTTTTTCCTGTTGTCCTTTTCTCTAATACCTATTCTTACATCCTAGTTCTCCCCAGGGGGTGGAGGAATGAGGCAGGACTTTAGTCCCAGCTGCCTGTTTGCTTGTCTCTCTCTCTTTCTTTTTTTTTTTTTTTTTCTGAAATGGTCAACAAGGTGTCTCATGCAAGTTTTGTTCTGAGAGTGGCTTTGGGGATGTGGACACTTGACTACTTGAAATGGGCCAGAGATCTTAACAGATCAATTTAGATAGGCCCCGGTTCTAATCATTAAATATGGAACATTATGGTAAGCTCTTATTGCAAAGAATTCTGTGGCCCTCTTTCTTCCCTATTTTTTTTTTTTTAATTTGGAAAAAAAAAAAAAAATTATGGTTAGAACTGGCGCAAAACCTGACTGAAGAGCTGCATCTCTAAACCAGTTTTTTTGACAGCCCAGCAGAACAGTGCCAATACATTGCACAGACAACTGGAAGAGGAGGAAGGTTTTGGAACAGACTCCTGTTTACAGGTCCTTGGCTGGAAGAGGCTGGATAAAATACTGCATTGTAAGCAATATAACAAACTGTACTTCTTGCAGGCAGTGGTGCCTCTGGCACTCATTATTTTTGACCACATCCATTTATTGGCTGATGAACAGAAATGCATTGATTGCTTCCTCTCTGAAAGTCTAACCTAGCATGGCAGTTTCTGCCAGGCATAGTGGGGAAAAGAATAACAAATTGGGTGGGTCATATCTATTGGGAATTAGACAGGAGTAATTGGAGTTTAGATTTTTCTTTAAACTTCAAAGCAGATATCCCTTTCAGGTAAATTTGATTTAAAAAGATAAATTTCAAGGCTTCTTTTTCCTCCTTTCCATTTTGTAATTGAATATCAAGGGGGAAATTGTCTGTAGTTGTCAGCCATTTTTCTGTGGTCATAAACTCTTCAGGTACTGTTTTCTATGTGATTTTTGCCATCTGCTCTGCTAGTGATCATTACCACTCCCATTACTAAAAACCACATACATAACATTCCATTACATACCTCAAAACAAGTGCAAGACTAGCAGACCCCCAGACTACTCTTGCTTGTTGTTTTGGGTCCTATGTTCTATTTTCATTTGTGATGATGCTGGGAGGTTGACGTTGGGATATGAAATTTGGCAGGATTGCATTTTCTTTTGACATCTTTAGTTGCCATAGTCTAGTCCCATCCATCCCACAGCTGTCCTACCCAGTGAGGAGAGGTAAGCTGTTGCACTAAAGAGAGGACCCCTCCTGTGGCTTTGTAGAGCAGCTAAAGCTTACTCCATTCTATTTCTGCATTAATGGGCCATTGGCAATTGCACAGTTTAGGCTCCTCTGTTCTTCCCTGGACAGCTGCCTTTGCAATCCAACTGGCTTCACATGGTCTCCCTCCCTACCTCCCTCAGGTCATCTTTGTGCCTGGATTTCTTATTTCATACTTAATATCTTAATTAAATTTATATTGTGGAAAATCCCATCTTAAAAAAAAAAATACTAAGCTTTAGTAAAATTTATCAGTCTGTTCCATGTTCATGTTGTTTTGGAACTCTTAAACAATAGCTTATTTTTAAATAGCCTGTCTAAAATAGTGAAGCAATTGGATGCTTAATTGGGAGAGGGGACAGTTTGGCTTTTACAGTACCCTGTAAGCATTGGTGGTTTTTATATTTTGTGGTGCTAAGTGCCAAAGTTACATCAGTGCTACATTGGCTATGCCCAGTTACCAATTGTACACAGGAGGATATGTGAGTGAATGGATGGGTGGCATTAACATTGGATCCAACTTCACAGAAAGCTGCTTTCCTTTTATCTATAATCCTCACCATTTTAAGACCCTGCTAAAAGAAACTAAAGTTTCTCTTTTTAATATGAGCCAGCAGCGACTACAGTTTGTTCTGTTGCTTACAGTTACCCATAGGATTAAGACTATTGTCATTCCAAATAAAAAACTCAATAGCCAATGGTGACTAGTGCAAAATAGATTAGGGTACTTCCCAAGACACTTTCCCACTAACGTGTGTGTTGGTTTAATTTTTTGGGAATATATAAATAATGTCATAAGGTATTCCTCTTGCTTATAGAAAGACTGGAGCATTTCAAATACATAAAGTTTCAACCTTTATTTTAAAGCCTTAGAAATGGGATCTTTCTGTGGAACAGTGATAAGACAGGTACTGCTGTGCTCAGGTTAAGTTTTTTAACATGGCCCTTCTTTCTCATGTTCTTTAAAACTGTCATGAAGAAACATCTCACTTCCACCCCCCACTTTCATACCACATGGGTGGTATTGCGTATTCTTGAAACTCGATGTTCGTAGTAGAGGTATGATCTGTTTTCTTCTTATAATTGCAAAGCTAAAAATATGCAACACTTTTGAAGAGAAAAATTTCTCCAAGAAATCTAGCTGAAAAACTATATAACACTGATTAGCCACAGAGTGACTGAATTAATACACTCTAAGCTTACAAGCAGTGCTGTGGGTTAATACGCTGGACTCCAGAGTCTTTTTGAACTGCAAGGGTGACAGTTCAAGCTCACCAGCTACTCCTCAGAAACCCTATACAGCACTTAACAACAACAAGCCTACAGGATGTTCCTTAATTTATGCTGATCTATGGTAGCATAGTGGTTACGAATCGGTCTGTGAACCGCAAGGTCAGCAGTTTGAAACTACCAGCTGCTCTGTGGGAGAAAGATGAGGCTTTCTGCTTCCGTAAAGATTTACAGCCTCGAAAACCCTGTACAGGGTCACTATGAGTCGGAACCGACTCCACGGCACATAACAACAACAAACTTTACAATGTTAAGGTAGTTTTCTTTATGTGAACAATAGGTGGCATTTTCTCTTCTTAAGGTGAGTTGTTGGTAGGGCTGTCTTCAGCCATCTCCCACATTGTGACCTGTGCTTCACTACAACTTGTGGAAACTTTTTGTATATGAAATAATGGCAGCTAGGAAAGTAATTCCAAGTATCTAGACAATTACAATGCACATAACTTGCATTCTAAATAGTAGGGATTGTTTCCTAGTTGCTCTTAAATCTAATCCAGCTGTAGAGAAGAACTGACCAGAAGGAAGGCACTGTAGAAAGTAAACAACCAGCTCCTTCAGTGTATTAAAACCCTGCATGGTTTGTATTGAAAACTGCTTTTGCGTATTTTCTTTTCACTCTTAAAGAGGGTGCTTTGAGAATTCTTAAAATATTAGTAGCCAGGACATGGCTCTACATGCCTCAGTACATTTCTATCCATTTTAGTAAAAATGCCTTGGTAACCAATTTTTTCTCTGATAATGAATTATTTGATAATAGAAGTTTAATATTAAAATTTTCATGGATGAAAGGTTTTTTTTCACTCAAAGTTAGGAAACGTAAGAGTTGAGTATAAATTACCCACTTTCTAATACTTTCTGATTTAGCTGAGGAGTTATGTTTGCTTTTATTCTCAGTATCAGAAATAGGTACAAGTGTGCAGTGTTTTGCTGTAGTCTACAAATATTAGTTGAGTGAGTACTCAGGTGAATTCCTTAACTCTTTTTTCCTTCTTGAGCTTATTATTAATAAGCTTATGATGAATGTGAGTAGCTCTTTGATTAGTTATGATAGAGAACCATATTCTTTGCTAGCTGATTGCCTTGACATGCCTGCTATTAAGCTCTACTAGTTAATTATATTTACATTTAAATACATATCGTAAAAGTATATTCTTTAACTTCAAGATATAAAGAGAGGATCTAAAATTCCATTTCATGTATGAGATACCTGTTTAAAAGAAGAAATTTTGAAATCAGTCTTTTTTGCATTCTTTATTTCCTATTAGACATTAAAGTTATCTCCTGGCTATTTCTTACCATGTAAAAGCATTTCTCATTTCCTTCAACTATGCTGGTTACATACAAGCATTATTGACTTTCATATGCTTGTCTTAATATAACCTGTCAGTGTTTCAGGCTTTCTTTTGCCCTCTATTAGGGCTTTCAAAAAGTGTTCTTATCAGTGAGCGCCCTAAGG